TAAACTGCATGGTCTCAGGAGGAAATTTGCACTGTCCCATTTCCCAATACAATCCTGCTGTCCTTACATGACTCTCCTCGTGTTTACCAGTGTGCACGATACAAACAGACACCCTTAAATCCCATCAGTCACCCTGAATTTACATACTCACCATCAGCCTCCAAAGATGAGATGTGAACAACGCACTGCTGGCAGCTAGAAAGGAGTTACCTCGGATAAATTCTCTTTAGCACACCGCTGCACCTGTGACATACAAATCATTTGCTCCTCATAGATTTACATTGCACGAAACAATAGCATCTGTGGCGCTGGGTGACAGCTTATCTGCCCCCGCTGAAACAGCAACAACATGCTCTGTCTCAGAGGTAATCTTTGATCAGCTGAAACGCTTTCTGTGATAAACATTGACTCGATCCCCATGGGCAATCACTCTATAGTGCTGGCATCATGGGAGGTAATGTATGCATAGACGTGTTGAATTCGCCTCGGGCCCTCACACACACATACACACAGGGCTGCACACACACAGTGAGATGAATTGCCACGCCGCCTAGAATAAATACATATCAGCTACAGTGAGCTTGGGTGCTCTTGCTCTTTCCTATTAATCCTCAGCATGGTGATTTATTGCAGTGCGCTTGTCAACGGCCATATAGTCCCTAAGAAGTGTGGCCGGCCTAAAGAAATAGCGGAGTTTAAGACTAAAGCCCTGCTGCAGTCCATCTGTGTGTATTCTGAAGGTGAATATATGGCTCAGCAACATGTTTGTGCAGATAGGAATGAGACTGTAAAACAATCTATTTGTCATAATCCAACTTTTAAATTGATTCAGTGGGTTTGCATCCGCCAAGGTGAAAGGCCTGGATGTATTGAGTGGATGCATTAAAGGGCACGTTATTTGTAAACAGTGTTTACATGGCGGTGCACGCTCAGCTGCAAGTGTAAACTCATCCATTTCATTAATAAGACTTCTACTGAAAAACCAACTGGCAGAGCAGCAGTGAGAGTCTTATTAAACACCACCATCTAGTGGAGGATTTATTCTGAGGTCTTAACACCTGTTTTTAGTAACATTTGCTACTACAAAAACTACAACTCCCAGCTTTCCAGAATGATACTTTGCTCTTTCCAAAAATAAAAGTACATACTCAATAACCATTTTTCTAGATGTACCTTTTTCAATCGGCAAAATAAATATGAGAGCTACATACACTAATTGAAGTACCAAGATGGACTTACACTTTGTAGGATTTCATTTGTTGACACTAATAACACATAGATCACAAGCCTTGTTTACCTAGGAAACTTTTTAATTTCTCCAGAAAAGGACTTTTGTGAGACCATTTAATTGACAAAACAATCCCAACTAAAAGGTCCATTTAGCAGCCATTTCTACTGATCATATTTCCATTGTTGAGGTCTACTAAAATAGATTTATATTGTGCAATTTTCCAAACTCACATTGGTTTTTCATACAGCATCTCTGTAAAGTATGTGTATTCACTCTCTGTCCTAAATGGCTTGTTGGAGCTCCGGCCCCCCCCCCCTCCCTGTGAGCCCAGTGTGCTCTGATTGGTCGGGATGTTGCGAGGCTCGCTGCTCAGTGAGCTGGCTTACTGGTGTGGTTTCCGGGTCGGCGATACAGCGAGACAGCGCAAAACTCATCCTGAGCACACACAAACACTCACAGCCGAATTAAAAACAATAAGTGTGGCTTGATATTGAGTAAGAAAAAGGTTTATAACGCTGTGAGAATGGGTCTGCGGAGAGCATTTCTCTGCGATCCCAACTCGTCTATTACCAGCGTTCAGGGAGCTCTATGCAAGTCAATGGGACTCCCTGTTAGTTGAAAATGTACGCTAAAGGTCTCCCCACTGTGTTTGATAGTGACGCCAAGGGATCCTGGTGTGTGAGGAGCTCCGCGGATTGGTCCATTTTGGACCGCATGCCGTCATGCGGTTCCCGGAAGAAACAAATGGAAAAAGAGAAATCTCCAACGAGGCGTTCTGGGGCAGCATAGACAGGTCTTTTCTGTGTTAGAGTTTTACTCGCTACAGGGTGTACTTTGAGGGTTTTTGACTCTGCAGACCGTTTACATGCATAAAAACCTTCATAACACACAAGGGGACGGGTAATAACCGGAAAAGCATGACATGGGAGCTTTAAATTACCTTCGAAGCGAGTTAAATTATTTGCTGTTTACAAGGCCAAGATTGAGCTTTGAACTAAACTTTTTAAACAAACATGGAAGAAAAGTATTATACGTTCTCAGAAAACTCAAATTAAATGGCAGACTGTGGACTTAATGCAGCAGATTATTTTGTTGACTGCCGTTTCCAAAATCGAGAATGAACTTTGAACCTCAAACTTTTTATTGTATTCTGACTCTTTATTGAGAATTTGACACAGTTACCATACACAAGTTAGAAAAACAGGAACAGAGCACCTTATTTTCACACCGTGGACACCAAGGACACTTTGACTTGTTGCTACAAACAGGAAACAAGGCCACTCCACTTTAAACCGAATTGTCCGTATGAGAGAAGAAGACAGCGGCTTTCTTTGAGGTTTCTGCAGAAGACGTTCAGGGAGGAAAAACAGACGACAAACAGATCTCACACTGACCCCGTCATGTGTTGGGTTTCACAGATGGAAGGAAATAACTGCAGCTAGTGAAGGTATGAATGAATGCTGATTTACATTTTGGAGACAGCTTATTCATTTTTGTATTTTTCTTAGAGATGCACAGATTGCAGTTTTATTGGCAAACTCAAATGATTTAAAATTCATATTTTCTTTCTATTATTGAAAGCATAACAACACTTTTCTTTGGCAAAAGATACAAAATAAATGTTTTAAACACAAAAAATGCTATTAAAAAGCTTACTATTTCTTCAAAATGTAATCAAAGTGACAGGACCTTGTTGATGTAAATACTGTACCTTGTTTTTAAGGTCTTTCCTCTATTTTAGACTTTCAGGTGGTACAAATGGCAAGAGTAATGTTTTTTGCACTCACACTGAAACACTTCCACATCAACGACATAATGTGTGTGTGAAGTGACGCTGTGTACGCAACGTAAAGCCATATTGGCCTTTCTTGTCTTCCATTATCCTTATTGTAATAACCAGGGCTCGAGCTTAAGGACGTCCCGTCGTCCCGGGGCCGAAAAAAATAGGGTCGGGGAGGATAAAAAATAATCTTGGGACGAATTTGGGACGAGAGTTAAAATAAAAATACCCTGATAACTCTACTACAGTACGAACGGCGATGAAAATGAAACTGACTGCACGTTTTGTGTAGCACACAGTTATTAAACCTCCTTGTCAACATAAACACACACGCACAAAACATTTAGCAAAACCGCGAAACACACACACACACACACACACACACACACACACACACACCACACACACACACACACACACACACACACACACACACACACACACACACACACACACACCACACACACACACACACACACACACACACACACACACACACCACACACACACACACACCACACACACACACACACACACACACACACACACCACACACACACACACACACACACACACACACACACACACCACACACACACACACACACACACACACACACACACACACACACCACACACACACACACACACACACACACACACACACACACACACACACACAACACACACACACACACACACACACACACACACACACACACACACACACACACACACACACACACACACACACACACACACACACACACACACACACACACACACACACACACACACACACACACACACACACACACACACACACACACACACACACACAACACACACACACACACACACACACACACACACACACACACACACACACACACACACACACACACACACACACAGCTGTGCCCGCAAACTCCTGGCCCGCAAATTATTGGGTCTAGCTATGTACTGAGTGTGTGTATTTCGCGTTGAGTGATGTACAATGACAATGGCATCCCGTGGAGGAATTCTGCAATTGTTTACGTTACATCACGAAAACGCACAGCAGAACCTAACCCTGGAGCGCCGGCCTCTTTATTTACTAACTCCTCTTCATCCCCTATGGGTAATAAGGCTGAGATGAGAACTCTCCATCGTATTTAGTCCTTAGCAATATGCTGCGTCTCTCCCCATGTAGGGATGGGTACCGAGCCCCGGTATTAAACGGGCCCCGGGCCGGAATTATTAAAGACAGTGGTAGCGTTAAGCTCCGACGTTATCTGACTTTTTATCGGTAGTGGAGACATTTCAAACATATATGTCATGTATTATTGCTACATGAACATTATATCGCAGTTTTAGTTTCGCCAACTCCGTTTCTAATATGCAATAAGTCTACAAAATGCGTCTATGATGTATTTTCGATCTTTCCAATCCAGACGAGAGAGCTCTCTCCCCCGTCTGTGTGCGAGGGGGCGGGGCAGTTTGTAAAGGTCTCCTGACTGTGTTACAGACTGTCATCCTGGTTAGTGGTTACTCTGGGTTCTGTCTTCAGGACAGAGTGTTGGATGTTTTTGATAATTGGATAGAACTTGATTGGATTCAATATTAGAGTAACTTTCTCGCTTGTGTGTTTTTTTTAAATATATTTGGCCTTTGTTTATGTGTTTGACTGATTTACTCAATTAAAAAGGTTGATGAATTATCATCTAATGATTTGTATGATGTTTTATTTATGTTAAAGGTCACTTTGAATGATTTTAACTAATGATAATGTAGAAAAACTAATATTTTAAATTCGGGACGGTCCACATTAATTTCGGGACGGCTTAGATTGTATTTCGGGACGGTTCCGGGAGGATGGTGAAAGAAGTTAGCCGAGAGCCCTGGTAATAACACTGCAATGACAGAATTATAAGGGTGCTTAACCAATAAACCTAGTCTAAATCGGCGAATGCTGCCACACAGTCTTGACCAAAAAAGAGCCAGACACACATTTGAAATGAAATATCTTTCATTTAACACACTTCCCTGATCTGTGAAAGAATCCTTTGGATAATTTCCCATATTTGTTGTGAAAGAGTGGAGAGAGAGAGAGCGTCCATACCATTACTGGAAATATAACACTGGAGTTCATCATCAGGGTTTACAGCTAGATGGCGCTCTGATGCTGCTTTTGCAATAAAAAGGCCTCCTCCTCCTCACCCCTCCCAAACAAACCCATCTAGCCGTCTCTTCTCCACCTCCTTATTTTACCCAGTTTCTCTCTGTCACCATCTCTCTTTTTCACCTCCACACCCCCTTCCTCATCTCCTCCTCCCTCTACACATCTCTCATCTCTCTCTCTCTCTCCTCTCCCTTTCTCCTCACCTCTCCTCTCTCTCCCCCTACCTCTCCTCCCTCTCTCCCCCATCACGTCCCCTCTCTGTCTTCACTGCGCTGCCACGGCCTGTGTCTCCCCCCCGGAGGTGGTCAGCTGCATCAGGCTGCCTGAAGCCGGACGGTCCACTCCTGTGGCCCAGCTGAAGAAAATTCTGGAGGAAAACCGAGAAGGGAAACATTATTAGTGAACAATAGAGCTGGGTATCATTTAAAAAAGTATATTATCTGTTGGGAAAAGACTGGATGTACTCTTCCAATATCAGAGTAGCACATGATAACAAAGGCCCTACTGTAGCTGTGTACGTAACAGGATGTATGATTACCTAGAAGAGCATCAGGTGACACTGTTTTAGGCATATGATAGCTATGTGATTAACATGATGATTCAGCCTCTATGGAGATAGACATATGACAAGCATGATCGTTTCTTACGTGGGTCTTAGCTAATTTAAACTAAACATTGTATACTGCTTTTATATTCCTCCATCTTGTGACTGTGTAACTCCCTCTCTTGTATATAAGCATGTGAAGGACACTGTTCAGGAAACGAGTTGTCCCAAATGCTCTGTATGTGATGACTCCTTCCATTCTTGCAAGGATAATAAATACATGTATCCTGAATATTGAAGCTCAAGCCGGTGACGAGTGATATTTTCCTAACATTATCACAACTCCTAACCATTATATTACACAAATAAAAAGTATATACAAAATATTGAAATACTTACAGTATGTATGTACTTGTGTTTTACCTTGCTCAACTCTACCAGCCCTCTGATAAAACTGTAACTATAAAGTGCAATTGTTATTCCTAAATTTGATATCATAAATAAGTTGACCCTTTTCTTATTTTTGAATGAGCGATTAGGGAAACATTTTTTGCAATCTTGGCCACGTATTGCTCAAAAGAGATTTAATTTCCAAGGAAAGTAAAATAGAATACAATTCAATAACATACAATAGAGTGTGTTTCCAAAGCAATAGTGTATACTACTGTAGATATAAACATCTTCAGGTTTTATGAATGAAGTTTGGCATTTGCACTGTATTTGTATTTTAGGGGGAAACATTGACAATGAAGCACTATGTCAATTCATTTCCTGTCAGCAGCCGTTTCTATTCCTGTCCTCAGACCCTCATCTGTTTCCTCGGGGATTATCAAACTGGATCAAATCCCGTCTAATCTCCCCGACACGAAGCTTCAACACCAACTTCTGTCTTAAAGCAGCCAGGGTTTATTCAGGGGGTTCAAAAACGTTTTCATAACTTTAATGACCTAAAATGGTATTTAAATTAAGTCCATGTTCTAGTTTGTTGTTTTCAAATGTAACAAAAGTGAAATAAATACATGTATATCAAATCCTCTCTTCCCTGTTTTAGAATAGATGGATAAATACAGAAATATAAATCACCTGTTGCATATTATTTGTAGTTTGCATTCGTTTTGACAGTAATACATCCTAATACTTCACTAACATGACAAACATCTGTATTGTCAGGTAAATGGTTCATGGTGTAGACTAGGAGTGTTTGGGTTGTATAAGTAAGAGAATAAATGTCATAAATAATACAAACAAAGTCAGAAAAATTGATGAGCTACAGTCATGAGCCGGCAGGAAACACAAACAGAAACACACAGACATCAATTATTCTGCACTGCCAGACATCTAGCGGAGAAATGTCACATTTTGATTCTCTCTCCTTCTCTTTTTGTATAATATATTTGACATGAATATGTGAGTAACCATCCAGAACCCAGGAATATTAACACAAAGCATACAAAACACCTACTTTACTACAGGAAGGTTGGATTACTGTAATGGTATATTAAGTGTAATTTAATTTTAAAATGTTAAAACTCCTGTTTAAAATGCACAAAATAAAATGTATTTGTGCCATGTTCAAATTCAATTTTTTATCACAACTGATATTTTACAGAAAACATAGATTCATTCAGAAATTGTTTGGCAGATTATTCGAAAAATAATATCCTCTTCCGTAATAACTTAAAGGGGACCTATCATGCAAAATGCACTTTTGTACGTCTTTTATACATGAATATGTGTCCCCGGTGTTCCAGGGAACTCACCAAGTGTCAGAAAACACAACCCTCTCTATTTTCCTCCATACCCAAATCTCTAAAAAAGGGGCTGCAACGGATCTGATCAAAACTGATCCAGATTTGAACACTGTCCTGACGTCAGGACGGTGGCGCTACGGCTATTGGGCCAACTCCACCAATCAGGAGGAGACAGCCACGGCCATTGCCGTTCGAAAGCGCTGGAGACGCTGTATATGTATATGCCAGGCTTGTAGATGGTGCTGTTCTCACAGAATCTGCCCTTGCAAAAACAGAGCTAACATTTTTCAAATTGAGCGAAATGAGGCATGGCTAAAATGCATGATCTGTTTGGTATTTTGAAAAGAAAAAAAAGTATAAATATGCCTTATATAGGTATGGTCCTACACTATATTATTCAAATATAGCATGATAGGTCCACTTTAACTAGAAATAAATGGTGATTATACATTTTTCAAGCCAAGTGATGTACTGTAAATAACAAAAAAAAACACAAGATTGATAATGTAATATCATTGGAGTGTGGACCTATCTTCAATGCAAGAATCTAAGGAAAGCACTGATATGTGCATTTAATGATGTATTTCCATTATGACTTAAAACCAAATACAGCCATTTAGATTAGAACCACTTTTAAAAACGACCCTATAGCAAAGATACATAACATTATATAGATTTGTATTGATGAAAGCATCTATACAAGCATGTCACAGCTGCTCTCTCCAGCCTGTATATCACACTATGAGTTATTATCCGCTCACTCACTCTGCGATGTACTCCAGCGTCGTCCATGAGCTGAAATCTGCGTCAGGCATGAACTTCCTGTTCATCGGCGTATCCAAGGTAACCCTGTCAAATTAATGCAGATGACAATCAGGGGAGTGACGGCAGCGCGACACACACACACACACACACACACACACACACACACACACACACACACACAACACACACACACACACCACACACACCACACACACACACCACACACACACACACACACACACACACACACACACACACCACACACACACACACACACACACAACACACACACACTACACACACACACACACACACACACACACACACACACACACACACACACACACACACACACACACACACACACACACACACACACACACACACACACACACACACACACACACACACACACACACACACACACACACACACACACACACACACACACACACACACACACACACACACACACACAGTTTCTGTTTTATTATCATATTCATGACTTCAATATCACTTAGCAATTCCACACCGCACGCTTTTCTTTTCACCTTTAGAAGAACTATTCTGATATTAACATGCAGCGTCCCTGTTTAACAGCTTATGATCAACAAAACATCCTGACCTAGGTCTTCTGTAGTATTTCTGAGGGAATTACAATGTGCATATGCTTCGTAGAGCCATTTAAATAATAACAAGAACATAGCTTTAATAAAGCAGAATATTATTGTAGAAAGACTGAGGCTGATTAACCGATTGGTCTCTAAAATGTCAAGAAAGTGACTTTTGAGTCTTCTTTTGTGAGACAAAGGTCCAAAAGTACTCTGATAATATGAGTAAACGGTCTGCAACGGTCTCTGTAATATGATATAAAACAAATACAGGAAGTCTCCTTATTTGAGAGCCTGAAAAAAGCATTTTCTGCCATTTTTGCCCAACTATTATCAATTAACAAGATATATATGCCGTTTTATTCCGTCAATGAGTATTTGGTGCAGCTGTAAATATAATGACTTGTTTTTCCGCTGAACAAATGCCATGCAGTGTTGGTATATGATGGTACAGCAGGAGTGGGGGTGGGGATGCAGGCTGTAGCAGAAATGCAAGTCATGGGGCTAATGCAGAACAGATGTGACAGATGAGGAAGACTCACTGCAGCCTCATGTTGGTGGAAAATACAACCAGAGAGAGCAGGAACAGTGTAGCCCCCCCGAAAAAAAACCATTTCTCACGATGACTCTGCAAAAACTGGTTTTAAATTCAGAGGAGGCGATGATGCAAAAGAGACTGTGAGCGTAACGCATCCAAAACAGATCATGGGCAGCACAACAGATCTGCAGCCTGTTCCATCTGTCAGTCCTTATCTTCACCCAGCACTTATCCATGGCATCAACATAGAAATCTGAGTCGCGGTTTATTCTACGGCACATTATTTTCTTATTCTGTCACTTTTTGCTGGCTGCTTACAGAGAATTTAAAGCTGCACTCTGCAACATATTTATGTTAAATATCATCAATTTTACGCTGAGCACAACATGAGGCTTTAACATATAAGATATGTGTATCAACAGTAACTCAGACCTGTATATGTTTAATACAATTGTGCTGCTGGATATGGACTCAATGGCCAACAAAGACAATGCCAGTAAAATGAACCCCAATAACATCCAACAAGCAGTGACATAGTGCAGTGCTTCATGCAGAGGATTAAGATACAGAAACTAGGGCTGCACGATATATATCGTGTCGTGACGATAATCACGTTATGCGCATGCGCGATATTCACATTGCAGGACGTGCGATTTCTTTTCTTTTTTTTCTTTTTACGACGTGCGGTATTAAGTAGGCAAATGAACTCAAACACATCATGTTACAATTAATTTGCTGCTTGCTACAAAAGGAAAACTTGCGCGGCTCTCATGTCAGGGGTACTTGAGTGAGTGACATGCAGGCTCTGCATGCACAGCAAACCACCACTCACAATCATTCTTGATCAGATCACAGCAGGATAACCGAGCTAGCTCAGCTTGTTGCTCTGATAACTTAAGAAGTCCGCGACTAAAATCCTTCATCCGGTTAAATATTGTTAAAAAAATACCAATTGTATAGCATTAAAGTTAAAGAAAGGATGGTTTGCGGACAAAAAAAAAACAGTCTTTTCTTCAATTCCTGTATTTTTTCATATCGCAATATATATATATCGCAGGGGAAGAAAATATCGCAATGTCAGTTTTTTCCAATATTGTGCAGCCCTAACAGAAACATATGTTTTTGGTCTTTATTTGTCTCTTTCTGCTGTGCTGCAGCTCCTCTTTTCACCATGTCATTATGTTACGGAAGAAAACAAAGGAGTCAATGGAGGCGTTTCAGGCAGTGGGGGAGAGAGAAACTCCCTCTGGAGGGGACTTTGGGATTTTAGCCTTTGCAGACCATTAACATGCACAAATACCCATTTAACACACTACAGGAAAGGGAAACCCCCAAAAGCAGAATAGGGGCCCTTTAAAGTTGCAAAAATCTGTTTACTGTAGACAACTACAACATTGTTACCAGTATCGTGGCTGGTTAAAAAAGTTGAAAAGTCATAATGGACCATCAGCTTTAGTTACGGTTTTGAACTGTTTCTAAGGTAACAGTCATGGGGCAGCCATATCTTATAATACTGTGACTCACGGCTCTTCAGAGAGAAACTTTTTTTATTAAAAGTGAAGGGCATCAGTCATTGAATAGCGCCACGTTCTTCTTCCAAAAATCTAGCATTTTAATTCTAAATTCTCACAAATGCATGATCAAGAAGTGGGTCAATTATGCTCCGAGTATGATTTTAGAAGTGTGTTTAAACAAAAGAATGTTCTCAAAATTCTGTGCCATTTATTAAAACTGTTGCACCTCAAAAACCAAATACAGCCACTCCTGCAAAACATAGCAAGCCACAAACCTTTCTAGAGCCACGGGTGGAGGGTATTTGAGACTCAAGAGACCTGTTGGTGGACTATTACCCCCTTCCTGTGACTGTGATGTTTTAAAATCATCCCCTCAGGACATGTGTATTGAGTGTATCGAGTGTGTACACAACATCTCACTGAAGTACTCACGGTAGTATCGCCACAGCAGCGGCTCCTGAAGGCATCCCACTGTTCTTTGCTGCGAGGCTCTGACACAGCTGGTGGACAGCAGCTTTGGCCATGCCGTAGCCCACCATGCCTGCCGGGTACACAGAGAATATTTATTTTAGAGTCCTGGAAGAAAATTCAGTTTGCAAAGAAACATCAGATGGATCACACACTGTGCCGAGGAGCGGATGACATTGATTTAGTAGCAGGAGGTTAAGTGGATAGAAAATTGGAGAATCCATGAAAGAAACATCTTGAGATTTTTCAAACTGAACCAGGGATGTTTCAGTTTTATAAAAGGCTCGGATATGCAGGATGCAAACAATTCAATGATACATAAAACAGCTTGTTCTCTTCTCTAAAGTTAATCTGTTTTTTAACACCATGTTTCTGCACAGACCTAGGATGAAGTTAAAACAAATGTTTTCTGTTTCAGCATCTGGAAACAATAAGTGCTTTTCCCCCAAAACATCTAACAAGCTTTATGAAGAATGCTAAGCCTCCGCCCACCGACTAAACCAATCTTATGACAGGCTTACACAGATCTGACCAATGGGAACAAGGGGTGGTGACATGGATTTTAATACAAGCTTTACAAAAAGAAGGCATGAGATAGAGTTGTAGGACTTTGAAATCAACACAGCTATGATTTTCGAGGCCCAGCTTTAAGCCTCTTGTATGTGACAGGTCACATGTTGATGAACTAGTGAGCATCCATTGTCAAACTTCAAATGTTATCTTAGTTCTTGTGTAACCTGTGGGAGTAAATATTTAGTTAGAACCAATATCTACCTAGGAAATAGTTTGTGACTTTATTAAAACAAGTGGCGCCACACAATCTACTCAGTAAAAACGTTATTCAACTATATTTCAACTTGTATAGGTTTGAAGATGAAATGGGAAATATAGATCGGAAGGTTGTGAGTTCAAATCCCGCCTGGAACACCACCACTAGTGTGCCCTTGAGTAAGGCACTTAGCCCTTAGTTACTCCAGGGAGAATGTCCCTGTAATTGGTCATTGTAAGTCGCTTTGGATAAAAGCGTCAGCTAAATGAAATGTAAAAAATAAGATCAGATGAAGCTAGAATCTGAGAGGCTTTACAAAGGACTTTATTCAGCCAATGCATTACAAATTATATTTTAGTGTCCTAGATTGACACTACAGTCAATACAGAGGTTTCTTTATATCCAAGGCGATTGACAATCATGTACTACTGACATTTTTTTTAGGCAAATCTTCATTTACTATGTGTAAGAATTAAAACACTATGGTTTCTTCCAAACACTGAAGTCTATCATTTCCAAATGTAGAGGATAATCAGATTGGAGATTAGGGGTAAAAAAAAAGTCACATGGAGATCACGGAAAAGACCCATTGGCGTCTAGGGCTCAACTTGTGTTTTAAATCCTAAATCAAAAGGTTAGGATTATTTTAAAAAGCCCTTCACGAGGTTTGGCAACCATTTCTGGGCATGTTTAGAGTTAAATATAGAAATTAATGATTGATTCAGAATAGAAAACTTGTTTTTGGTCACTACAAAAAACATTAAATCGCCATAAAATCTTGTATTTTATCACTTTTAATACTCTGCTTGTGATTTCTAACATCTGTTGTTAATATTTTCATCATTTACCTGGTGTTAATTAATTGAAAACCCATTTTTAACAACAAACTTTAAAGTAATTTAGTTATCATTTTTAGCTTTTCTCGTTTTTGCTGTACGGATAATCAGGATCTGGTCAATGATCATCAATTTCTTAGTTTTTTTTATCAAAGCAGAGCAAAGAAAGGACGACGAACCTCCTAACAGTGTTTGTTATATTTGTTGACATCTGGCTCTTGATATTGATTGATATTAATTTGGATTTGTGGAAATTAGAAAACGTTCACAATCCCTAAAAAAGTCAGCTATGCACGTTCCTACACACAGTAAAGAATACAGAACAATAGAAATCAGGAACCCCAAAACTGCATCAGTGCAATAAACACACTTGTTAGTCTGTGTGTGTGGAGCTAAAACTGCCGAGTCATTTTCTCCATAAGCCAGCAGTAAATGACTTTATGTGCCTTCTTTGTGCTGTCTGCTGAGCCGGGGCTTTGCTGTGGAGTTGGATCTCGGCCCATCACATGGTTAGCGCGGACACAGGGGGAGACTGGACATCACATGGCACCAAACCAAAGCCGTCTGGATGCCACAGAGGCTGACATGAGGGCGGCTGGTGTCGCATTAACCATGGTTAACTGCCTAAAATCAAATTCCCCAACACACCATCCAAAAAGTGGGAAGATAGGGTTTATGTGGCTGTTAACTTTTATATTTAAACAGATTTGGGTTAATTGTTCATTTGTCTGTTTTAAACCTACCTTTGTGCAATAATTTGGTTAAAAAAAAAGCAGCTCGTTTGATGCTTAAATCTACACATCTTGACCTATAATTAACAAACCAATAACTACATTAACAACATAGATCGTTACTCCCTTCCTCGCCAGACACTTTCATATTTTCCCCAAATCTTTATGGGTAAAAAAAAAAGAAAAAAAAAAAAATCACTGTTGAGAGGTACTTCATCCTTTCTTTGTGATTTAATTAAAAAGTCACAAGTTAATGAGCGATGACCTCATTCTGATGCCCTCTTTTCTCCATTCAAATCATCTTCAAACTTGGGTCTTCATCATGATCTCCCACTACACATCTGTGAAGATGCGTGTCTCGCATGGTTGCAACGTTATGTAATGTGATATACTGTAGCTGTGGACAAATCCGCTTTAAGGCCTTTTTTTTGCTAACCGTCCTAAAAGTCCACATTGAGCTCGGAAAATGGTGTTTAGTTATGCTTCTCAAATATGTTTTAGAACCAGCTGCAAAATGAGCTGAAACTCATGAAGCTGGTCTCTCTTAAGTGCTTTTTAATGACCAAGAATCAGGCAGCTCTGTCTGTATAGATGCTTTGATGTTCTGACAGTAACTATGATATGTTTTCTGTTTGTGTCTTCAATATGTTGTCTCTAACTGTGCTGCTGCCCATCTCAGACATTACTTGCTTGTTTAGCTGTTTTAATAAACCCTAATGAGTTGCATTTTAATTATTCACCTGCTGTTGTAGAGTAGGTCAGGGTTGAGTCAATTGCTCAAGGACACACAGAGCACAGGATGGCTGATGGAGAAACGACAGAGCCCATAAGCTTTTCTACCTTTTACCTCCTGTTTTGTTTCTCGGATCTATTTTATCGACACATTTTCCTCACACCGTTAGCTCTGTGCGAGATCCCCCGTGTCTCTGATCAGTATGTCAATTCCCCGGTCAAAGCCCCGCGGCGCTTTCTTATTACCTCCATTATTTGAATTGGCAGGTTGGACAACAAAGCTATACGCACAATGTAGTCTCCAATACATCAAAGTCTGCCTGCAAACTCTGACGTGACCCGTGGCCAAACCAGGTCATCATGATGAGAAAGGTAAACAACTAATGTGTGTGTGTGTTACCTCCAGTGCCTGACAGAGCAGCTTTAGCTCCGGCCAAAGTCAATAGTCCCTTCGGTTTGAGGTGCAGAGCGGCAAGGTGGCTGGAGATAGTGGAGGTCCACACACTCTGTTTCCACATCAGATCAGTGTTTTTGTATAAATCTATAAGATAGGTGGGGAAAAAAACATTAAAAAGGACAGCCTCATATTAATTAGCTGGCATCTTATAGTTCTTCCAACACACTAGTTCCATATGTATTATCTTATTTAGTTCAACTTTGGGTATACGCTGTGAAATATGAGAGTTACCTAAAAAGATCAATACCACTCTCATTTCTGTCAGTAAAAAATAAGATTTATAATCGGTTAGCTTAGCAAGGACTGGAAACAGGGGAAAATGCTAGCCTGGTTCTGTCCATCAGTAACACAATCTGAATACCAGCACCTAAAAGGCCCAAATGAACATGTTATATCTCATTGGCTGATGTAAATAGTATCCTTTGGTAATATATTTTGTTAGTGGGTTGGTCTATTATAGTGTAGTCTCACGTTTTCTATATATCAAGTATTCTTTCTATGCATTTATTACATTTGTAAAGTTATTTCTTCAATAATATCTAATTGAATGTTATCTAATACAATTCAATAAAATCTAGGATAACTTATAACGGGAGCTATGCCTTCTGCCCTCCCACTTTGCCTAACTTTGTTTATTTGTACCTTGTCTGTATATATTAATATTAAATTAGTGTTTTTCAACACATACATTTTTGAGCAGAGATTAAGAGATGTTTGGAGGTAGAATTTTGTTTTTTTCGGGTAGAGCAATGCTAGCCGTTTCCTACCCGTCCATTCTTTATGCTAAGCTAGAACACTCGGCTGCTTCCTATTTACCGTACAACTTATTTGGGCTGCATGGCTGAAGGAAACAAATGGCTGATGATTAATTTTACAGCAAACAAAAAGGTTAAACTCCGACCTTTGGAGCTACAGCTTCCTCCCGCCCAGCCTCCGGCCACACACAAGATGGCGTCTACTTTCAGTTCCCCTAGCAACTGCGCCACATCTGCCGTCACCTATCGGACAAAACGAGAGATAACCAAGAATTTCTTATTTATGGAGCCAGGGGTGAATGGCATTTAAACGACAACCAGTACCTCTCAGTTCATACACCAGCTGGAAATGTTTAATACACATTGTACACTGCATTCAGAACAACAAACAAAATCAGCATCACATTTGCAGTAGGAGATAAAGAAATGGAATACAATACATTAAAAAAAGGTCTTGTGGCAAAGAAAACTACATGAGATATGCAAACTAATTTACAAAATGCATGTAACCTGGCTAAATTATTCCTGCAATAATGTACAAGGAACTGACGTAGACAGAACTAATCAGTAATTAAGGGAAACTTTAAAGTATAGAGGAAACAATTGTGCTGGTTGTCAATGTGACTGATCCTTCATTTTGACTGAAATAGTGTTCTCTCTGTTGTCATTGTTTTAATTAAGAGAGATATAAATGACAGACATTATTTTAAAACAAAGAAGTAAAATGTGCCACTATATTATTCACTTCATAATGTATCAATACAATGTGTTAATACTTTTATTTTGTATTTTATATTTGTGTTGGCGTGAACAGTATCAGAACAGCATTAACCAGATAAAAAGCATGATGTATGGACTACTCCTGTCAAACCGCTGCAAATATATTAAATAGTTCAAGTTGTATTCAATTACAAATGATATCTTAAAAGGAAATGCTTGGATTAATGCTTCAGTAGCATTACACAGAGCAGCAAAGCTATCGAAGTCGGTGAGAAACACAATAAAATAATATTCACATTTCCTCCTTGTTTTTTCAGTTTGACCTGAACGCAGCATTGACATAAACACAGTGAAACTGAATGCAGAAAAAAGCAATTAAAAACATATTTATAAGCTACACCATTCACAACAACCGTTAGACTTTAGCTGCAGGTTGTAACAGGTCTACTACTACTTGTTAGCCCATCAGTTTAACATTAAACAAAAACAAATATTGGTAATAAATATCATTATAAAACTCACCTGTCCTGCCTGCTCGTTGAAAGATTCACTCGACTTCACGATCACGTTGTCGTTTGCCTCCTCGTTTGCAACCATATCGATGGAAGTAACCCACTATGCATTCATAAAAAACATAGAAACGCACTTAGCTTATCATTTTGCAGTGTGTTAGCAGCTAAGCTAGGATATGCGTGCTATCACTCACCCATCCTTTGGATTTAAAATGCAGCACACACTTGGAGCCCAGCGCTCCTCTTCCTCCATAAACGATCACCCGGTTAGCAGCAGCCATGTTTAGGGTCAGTGTCAGAGTTAATGCTGTGTGTTTGCAGAAAGCTGAGTGAGAGCTGACGCTAAGCTGCAGTTGAAATACAGGCAGAGAGAGGGAGGGAAAGAGAGAGGGAGGGAGAGAGAGAGGGAGGAGGGGGGGCGTTTCTTCTGCAACAGGTTGGTGGAGCTAATGCTGCTTTCACAGGCGCTCGGAAATGCTACGATTGTTGGAGAACCATGCCAACGCATGCACAATTTATAAAACATTTTTTCGAAATAGCAACATGGTCCATGGACAAGTGCAATATCCAAATTGCATTCAGTGCAGTATTTGGGCAACATATGTGAACATATCTGAATAAAGTTTCGTGGTGCTGCAGGGAGGATACAAACAGGATTCTACATACTTCTTCCATACATGGATATCTGACGAACTGGCGAAGACTGGAGGTGATGACCGGGGTTTTATACAGGTGCAGGTGAGTAGTGGGCCTAGTGGCAATTAGTGAAATGAGCAGCAGCTGAAGAGGTGTAGAGGCGGGAATCCAAAAGTAGGTCAGCCACGCTCAGCCGGGGAGACAGACACACACACCCACAGAGAGACAGACAAACAGGGAAAACAGGGAGGCATTAGGCCTACTGTGGATCCTCACACTTCTTCTTCTTTCCTATACAATATGTAATAAGGGTAAGCTTACAATACACTTTCTTAATGTGCATTCATTTTTTAGAAAATTGTTAATAGAAATAAACTACTTCTACGGCGAAATTCTCTACCATGTTCCCCCAGCTAGTCACCAGAGGTGGGACCAAGTCATTGTTTTGCAAGTCCGAGTCAAGTCTCAAGTCTTTGCGCTCAAGTCCGAGTCAAGTCTCAAGTCTTTGCGCTCAAGTCCAAGTCAAGTCTCAAGTCAGGATGGGAAAGTTCAAGTCAAGTCCAAGTCCTAAACTTTGACAAAACGAGTCTTAAACAAGTCATTATGTGCTTTTCACCAAATGTAATGACATCGATCAACAGAATAATACTTAATAATCAAACTGCTCTTTATTAGTCACATTAATCATTTAATAATCCATTTTCTCTCTGCTGGTAAAGTAACGTGTTTTTTTCTATTTTAAGAGGGATCAGTAAGGTAAGGCTACCGTGACGGTTTGATTCAGAAGGAGTTTAATGCATAAGAGCGCTGATGTTGAGGTAACCAGAATGTTTAGATAGATAGATAGATAGATCGTACTTTATTGATCCCAAATTGGGAAATTGTTTTTGTTACAGCAGCATAAAAGGCATTTTACAATAAAACAAAATATACAAGAATAGAAATAAAATAAAATATAAAATATACATGCAGATATTATATATATATATACAAATATATATATATTCAAAATATATGGAATTATGGAGTATTAAATATGAAACAGATTATGTATGAGTAAAATGTACAACGTGGTTTAATTTCTAGAGAAACTATGGAGCAGAGAGTTCTCTTCCAGCCAGAGGTGATTTATTGTACAGAGTTATGGCAGTGGGCAGGAATGTTTTCCAGTATCTGTCCTTGTGACAGGGGAGCTGCAGCAGTCTGTTGGAGAAGGAGCTCCGTTGACTGTCCAGCTGCAGGTGGAGAGGATGGGTGGGGTTATCCATGATGGTTTATATCCACTGTGTACAACATGTTATAAGGGACCCACAATCTATCTTTATGCAAGGGATAATGTGCAGCGAGGCGGTCTCTATGGGGAAAAGAACACCTGAATCTAGATCCCTCTGCAGGTGGTACTTTAACTATATTTTTATGATAATACTTTTCTACTTTTACTTGTAACATTTTGAATGCAGGACTTTTTATTGTAACCGAGTATTCCTACACTCTGGTACTTTTACTCAAGTACAAGATCTGAACTTCTCCCACCTCTGGCATTAAATCCTGAGTGGTTACCAAAACAAAACCCTGCTCTGAAGGCTATTTTCATTTGACAAATCCTGCACTCAGCTTTGCTTTCTCCAATATCATTGAAATGCAGCCAGATGCTGCTTCTTTTTTCGGTTTTCGCTCATTTCTTGACTTTTTCCGACGCGCTTGCATTTAAATCCGTCTCCCCGTCTCCCCGTCGCTCTGTGTAGCTGGCCTGTACCACTACACTTGCTGTCTTTGGAGCGTCTGCCCCCCACCCTTCTTTCACATAATGGTATGATCCTAGTGTGTCCTCGCATATGATTGGCCGCATGGTGGCTCAGCAAAATAAAGTCCCGCCCCTGCCTGCATGGATTCTCAGCAAGAGTTGCAGCGGCTGAAGATTCTGCTTTCCCCGACGGGAGTCTGCTCTTCTAGCGGAATCTCGCGACCTCTGAATTAAATTATCAAGTCACCTCAAGTCAGAAGGCTCAAGTCCAAGTCAAGTCCCGAGTCATTAGTGTTCAAGTCCAAGTCGAGTCGCAAGTGTTTTGTGATTTTGTCAAGTCGAGTCCAAAGTCATCAAATTGGTGAATCGAGTCTGACTCGAGTCCAAGTCATGTGACTCGAGTCCACACCTCTGCTAGTCACTAACTTTTTTAAATGTTTAACGGCTGTCTTCAGCACCTGGAACAAGGGCGGGAGCTTAATTTCAGTCTGAAAAGAGCTGAAAGACAATAACAGTCTGGCAATAGTTCTCTATAGATTAATTAATACACAGACCCGTTCAACATTGATCAGTACAGTTTTAAAGGTCCCCTATTGTACTGTTTTTCATCAATATATTATAGGTCTCAGATGTATACAAACATGTCTCTGAAGTGTTTGGCTTGAAATACCAAACAGATCATTGCAGCATCCCATAATCCCCTCTGTTTCAGCCCTGTTCCAAAAGTGCTGATTCTGTGTCTGTTACTTTAGATGAAAATAAGGAGCCACTCCCCACGCCCCTCTGAGAGATATTTGGTTAAAAAGAACACAATGGTGCTCTAGGAAGAGATTCAGGTGATAACCTTGGTTGGTTTTTGGCTAATAATGGATAATTAAGAAAATCTGCTCTGCTGGAGATGGAAAACCTTCTCAGATAAAATGGAAACAACCAACACTGGTGGGATTTTGGTGACAGTGTGAATATCGTGGACAAAGTTATAGTGGGGGTTCCAAATCGGGCAGCACCAACACCTGGTCTGCCACATGTGGAAGACAAGATCTTTAGTTTTTCACCTGCTGAGCCCAGAGTAAAATGCTTTTGTGTGCACAAACTACAGGTGAACAGCAAACACCAGTGTGATTTCGGTGACAGTACGACTATCTTGGGCAAAGTTATAGTGGGGGTGTCAAATCCGGCAGCACCAACACCTGGTCTGCCACATGTGGAAGCCCCTCTTTAGTTTTTCACCTGCTGATCCCAGAGTAAAATGCTTTTGTGTGCACAAACTGAGGGGACAGCAAACACCAGTGTGATTTTGGTGGGAGTATGACCACCCTGGACAAAGTTATAGTGGGGGTGCCAAACCAGGCAGCTCCACCACCTGTTCTGTTGAACATGGGCTGTAGAGAAACCGTGCAGATCTTCCCTATTGACACCAGGATTAACCTTGTCGAATAAAAAAAGAACATTAACAGTGCGAGAGAGGCACAGATACAATAACAATAATACATTTTATTTGAGGGCACCTTTCAAAACATTCAATGTCACCTTACAGTACACAAATAAATAAAATACGAGTGGCATTGCAATACAAAAACGTGTTGCATACTGTAGAAAACCACAGGAAAATTACATTCTAAGGAGCAATTCAAGTGAGTAAAGACAGTTTTGAACAAAGTATTCGTTAGGCTTGATATGAAATAACACGGTGTCTGACTATATCATATATGTGATATCATTACTTGTCATTTGTTACGTATTTTGTATTTGTGGTTAACAAGTATCAGACACTTAAACAACAGAGAATGTTTTATAAAATAGTACTATACTGACAAAACACATCTAATCCTTTCACCATGTATTCTGTAGGAATAAAACATAAAAACACTGAAGTTTATTCCAATATGAAAAATGTTACAGAGTAAATCATTTATTTCATTCTTCTGGTTACATTTCTTTGACGAAACTCCCAATTATTGAAATGACGTCAGCCTTGCGCGTCCCCACGAACAGGGCTTCAATCCACGGCAAACCTTCAATCTACGGCACAACTCCTGTTTATCGAGTATACTACTATACTCATATTCTATTTCTATGGTCAGCCCGCTACAACTGTCGCTATGGCAACGGTACACATAAAATGGCCGCTGCTCTGACCATCCTGAAGGTTTCTCATTTATCTAATTCCCCTCCTCGACTCCCCTCCTCGACTCCCCTCCTCGACTCCTATCCTCGTGTCTTAGTCCCGCCCACAGGAGATGCGAGCTGAGGAGTCGAGGAGGGGAACCGAGGAGAGAGGAGGGGAAGCAGCGGGCGTTTAGAGAAATGAGAAATCCTCTCCTCTGAGCGGTCATTTTAAAGAGACGTCCTTTCATGATGACAGGAGGCACAGCAGCCCTCGAGGTCTGATTGACAGAACATTGTTCATGACGACTTATATATTTACTTTTAATTAATTGACAGTGCGGTATAATGAGACAATAACAGGCTACAGATGCGGACATATATACGTCACACACACACATATATATATATATATTTATATAAATATATACAATTTCAGATTCAAACAAGTATGAGAGCACTCTCATAATAACGTAACACTATCAGAGACTGGATATCCCCCCCCCCACCCACAACACCCACACACACGCACCTACACACTGTACAACACACACCTACAGCTCCTAAAGCATGTAATCAGGATACAGCCGTTGTGTATTTTATTATGTGAAGCAAAAACACTTTTCAAAAACAAATGCTTTATTACTATTATTATTATATCACTGTTATAGTTAGAATTGTGTCTTATTATTATTATTGATTATAAGTACTATTTTAATATTATTATTGTTATTATTATTATGACTACTATTATTATTATTATTATTATTATTATTATTATTATTATTATTATTATTATTATTATTATTATTATTATTATTTTGATTTTATTATATTATTTAATTGTATTCCCTGCTGTATTCATATTAACCTAAACATTTTTATTCAAATAATACACTTTGCTTACTAAAAGTGTGTCTGAGTTTCTTCCATATTCAGTTTTCTTGCAGTG